GCACATGTCCATCGAAGGTTCTGGGGAAAAATGGTGGAAACAGCACACAATTTTATACAATCTACAGTAGCACCATCATACCAATTCTGCTTTCACTGAAATCGATCACATAGTTCCCATTAACAATAAAAGGGTTCCAAAATATCCTTCCAGGACTGACACTGGATTCACAGGGATGCAGCAGGAGCTACGTTCTGAGCTCTTCCCTCTCTGCCACACACTGGGTGACTTGCAGTACTACCAAATGTAGTCTAATGCTCTCTAAACTCTTCCTGTGTTGCTCCTGCTGCCAAGAACTGCAAGCAGTTGCCCTCAGTGCTCATTCCCTATAAACGCCTTTTCTCTAAATATAACTTTATATGATTCAGAAGTTACATAAAGAAGTTAATTAGAAGATCATCACAGTTAAAAACCCCAGCATATCGGTGTATGTATTTGTGTGTAGAAGCATGTACCTACACATACAGTCACACTACGGATCAGTTCTGGTAGTCTATCCACTATGAGAAAACTTTCACAAGTGATGGGGAATCCTGTTTAAGCCACAGTGCTCAGCTCAGACTCAGAGATCCGTTTACACAATTCAAATACAAGATTGGGGCATAATCTATATGCACAATTTTGATTTCTGCTGATTGTGTGTTAAATGTATTTATGTTTTAAGTACTAACACATAGCTCATCACATTTTGCATGCAAGCCCATGTATATACTACACACAATCATATACATCCGGTAGTATAACAACACAGTGAAGACGACAGAAAGAAGCCCTGTTGCAGTAAGAGTTAAGCAGAAAACAACAGCATTCTACTCCTCCAAAACTGAAGCTCCCCAAGATACAGTTGTGTGCACAAGAACACCTACAAATGTCAAACTTGTAACTCAGGTGCAAATCCACCTAGAAGACATGAAAACGGGACAGCATGCCCGCCTCCTTTGCACCAGCTGGTGCAGCACACACTACCAGCCACACGACATGCACAGCTGCACAAGCCACCCATGGTCCTCCCATTTGTGCTGTCAGAAACGCATCTCACTTTCCCATAGGACATAAATTGTCCTAAATTGCTGGCTTATGCCAGTTTACGTTATAACCTTAATGTTTTCAGCGTAATTCTCACAGTAAGCTGTATAAGTTGGAAGACTGCCCTTTTACAATTCCAGTTTATAATAGAAATGTTATAGTGGTTCATATCAACAGAGCTTAGATCTCAACCAGCTCACAGAAGGGTTAAAAATAGAAAGTGCTATCCACTGGTTTTCTCTGATGTTCCTGTAGATATTGTCACTGGATGTATCCTCAGTAGAATTCTATTCAACACCTCTGTCTTTAAGTACAAAGCTGTAGGCTGTAGCAGCTTTCGGAAACATAAGTATCCTTTTTTCTGCTGCACAGTATCTGTGTGTGAAATTCTCTAAAGGGGTTTAAGTATTTACCCTGAACACTATCAGACAGTTTCTAAAATTTTCCTTATCCTGTTGCAAAAACACTTCAAAGAGAATCATAAACACAGTCCTTTGTGCTTTCAGCACACGCTTTGTTTTGGAAGCTTAAGTCTGAATTCCCCCAGAATGGTAAATTTTTTTTTTCTGAAAGATGTGCAATACAACTTTACTTTTTTTTTTTTTTTTTTTTTTTAAAAAAGATTGGTAGTGATTGTACTACATACAATGTTGACTCCTTTCGCCCATTTCTGACAGTTAAAAATATTGGGGTAAAGGAAATTGGTGTCAAAATAAAAAAAAAAAAAAAAAGAAAAAGAAAAACAAGTCTTCAGGATCAGGTTTTGTTGTTTTTGTTGAAGATCAATGGTAGATTTCCAGAAACATCTGACTCCTAGTGTACATAAAATATAACCTGCCAAAAATACATTTATTTAAAGGGTCTGGCCTAAACAGATAAGAAGAGCCCAAAAAGACAAGAAATATGGCTAAAATTTGGGTCTTTGAGCTGCCATGTTGTGCCTACATTTCACAGCTCATTAGGCAAATACGATCGCCCATCACTGCATGGCCCTCCAAAAAAGGAGTGTGACACTGCAATATCTAAGCACAATGGGAAAGCTAAAAAAGAAATTAAAAATCATACCTTAGAATTTCTTGAATTTTGGCTGGCAAGGTCAAATCAATTTAAACATCAATTAAGTTGCTCTGCATTTTCTGAAAAAAGCTAAACAACCAAGCAGCCCGTTTGTGATCCCATTATCTATTTTTTTTTAATATAATTGGTTAGCTGTTTAAACTGCCAAAGTCTACAAAAGCTAGGAGGATTCCTTTTAGAAGCATATTTTGTCTTATAGCTTTCATGATTATTCTGGAACTGAAATACTCTGATTTAAATACATATTTAAACCCTTGTTTTAATTTGGAAAAAAGAAAAAAAAAAAAAAAGAAATATATTATGGCCCTGGGCTGAGATTTTGTAGCTCAAGTTTCAGCCTAGACTCAATTCTAACTGTCAGGCTGTAAACCCCTGACAATAGTGGCTTATAGCAAAAACTATGACATATTTCATATGTAGCAATCGTAGCAAATAATGAAATAGACCTCAAAAAGGAAAGAAAAATAATTTTACAAGAAAGTAGCCTTGCTCTCTGATTTGAATTTAGTTGTATAAACTGATAAAAGCATTTATTGAGAATAACAGTAATAATGACTAGTAAATATAATTTTTAAAAAGTTTTACAAATGAAGATGAAAGTTGTGCAGAAAGATATCCGTTTGCATGAAATGCCACTTTGCTTATTATAACTACACAGAGCGTGCACACTTCTGCTTTTACACTACATTTATAAATTAAAAGGTGTGCTGCATTTCATTATCATTAGCTGTATTTTAGGATGCCAAAAAGTGAAACAAATGCTATAGCAATTACTTGTGTTTCAGTTATACCATTTAAAATCAGTTCTTTAAGATCTATGTTTCGTTCCTTTAAGTAGACCCTTTACAGTAGGCAAACAGTTATGCTGTTAAATATAACTCCAAATCAGTCATAATTTTCTCTACATTTTAGGTCTACAATTTTTTTCATCTTGCCAAGTTCCTGCATAAAAAGGTGGGATTAAATGGAGCCTAGCCTACCTAACATAATTATATATGTTGCGATTTTATACTGCAATGAAACTGATACATTTTAATAATCCCAGTCTTGGCTCTTACCCACTAAAGTCAATAAAGGTTATTAAGGCCAACTGCCATATAAATACATTGCTACATTGCTAAATGGACTGTCAAAGCAGGAAATACAATTCACACCATATAGCACTACTAGGGTCGTCTTTTTTTTTTTTTTAAAGGAACACCAGAAATGTTAAAAAAGTCTTTAAAGATTTGATATTTAAAGTATAATCATATATGTTTACTTTTGATTCCACAAACAAAAACCATTTCACTGATTTACACTTCACTTATTCAAATGTGAATCAGCCTAAAACAAAATAAACAAAAAAAGACTGTAGGACTTCTGCAGTTCTTACTGATTTGGCATGGTGTTAGAAGATTTTCATAGCTAAAATAAATGTCAGATTGCAAGGTTTGCATGATATCAGACCCTGAGAGACAAATTGTCTCTCCGCTGAATCTCAGAACAGCTACAGCAAGACTTCCTGACATCACATGAGATTTCAGCTTTTCAGACTTCTCTTTACCCAGAAAGCAAAGCTTGTACAGTCTTTTTTCAAATGGTAACTCTCCCTTTGAATTCAGCAAGCATTTATCCTGATGTTGCAGATGATAACGTGTTAATCTTGGATGACTTTTAAAAAAACCCCTCAAACATTTGAATAGCCTTCATATTTTCAAGGGAGGGGGAAAAAAGAGAGGAAGATTGGTTAAACTGCTTTGGATTTAATGGTTCATAAATTCATGAGGTAATATTGTGGGAAATGTGATGTTTTATCAGAATGTCATTCAAATGAAAGGTTTAACATTTACATCACAAGAGCAAGCTCTAAGTAAAACTATCCTCAGGGAAAGAAATGCCAGGAATAAACATTATGATAAAATTGTGTGCTTGCTATAACGTACAAAAATATTAAATAAAGCCCAAAGATTTGAAGACACTGGGTTAAACTTCCTGCAGTATCATACATGGCTGTCACATTGGAGCAATTACAATTAGGAGAATCAGAAATCATTTTAGAAAACTTTATTTTCTTCTTTAAGACTGCATTACTAAAGAAGGGGGGGGGGGATGGACGGCATGCAGGGACCCCAAGACTGACTTTTGTATCACTCTAGACACATATATTAAAAAAAACTTAAGTGAAGAGTTGTTCAGCTCACACACAAATGTAAAAAAATACATTGCTTAAATATTTTCTTTTAAGAAATAATTCCTTTTAAGCAATAATACTCTACCGAGACAAAATCAACAACTCTAAGACATTTTTAATTTAAGCATTTTGCCACAATTGGTTTTTTTTTTTTTTTTTTTAAGAATAATCCAGCTAAAATTATAAATTTGGAGAAAAAACATCGACTGTAGACTACTGGGTACCTTCAGAAATACCTTTCTGATTTAACTTAATGCTGTGGAAGCTAAGCATGCACCAAAACACTGCACTTTTTATGTTAAATTGCTGTTGAATTTGTTAACCCACAATTGATTTCCTGTGTTATGGAATCTTAGAGATTACAGCTAACTTGAAGCAACAGGGATAATTCTGGGTGTTAATGCTCCATTTCTATGTATTTTTATTGAGTCGGTGCCTGTTGTTGCATTAAAACTGCGGCTCAACATTGCCCCCTACTGTCATCTGTGAAACACTAAAGGACAAAATGTAGGTTAAGCCCAAAAAAACCCACCCTACCTCCATGTCCCAAATACAGTTAGCATCAAATTTACTTAGAGACTCAACAAAACAGACATTCTCAATTAACATTCTCTTCTGTCTCCTTCAATAGCTGAAATTAATTGTGATTAATATGTTATAAGTCATAAAACATTAAAGCAATTTTTAAAATTTAAATTAGAAGCAGCTTCTGTCTTGGCCCAACCTTCAGTTCGCTGATAAATATCATCCTGAGGCCTGTTGAAAGGAGATACACTGACGCCACCATGTTTCTAATTAGAGACACATGGTAATGTCACACCAATTGCAGAAAACCTAACCCTTGAGAATTCCCGAGTTTGCTGTTTTTCCATGTTCTCAACACACAATGGATAGAAAATAACAATCAAACATTCTTGTCTCTACCTCATCTAAGCCTGTGTTTCAAGAAAGTCAGCTGTCATTTGAAAGAAAAACAGACCAAAAGATTTTTTTTTTTTTAAATTATAAAGGTCATTCAAGAATGTGAGCACGTAAGAACACAAAAATGAGGAAAAAGCCCCACATAAGCAAGTTATAAATAATTTCTCTCCTTTTGTAGGGAAGTTTAATGTTCACTGATTCCTTGCAGCAACTGATTTCACACATGCAAGTTCCACTTTTCCACACTTATTTTCTATATCTGAAACCAGCCATTGCTAGAAAAGCTTACAATACGTTTGAGCACGTTAGTGAGTCACAACATTTCCTTCAAAATTCAAAAGCATATTCTTGTAGCACCATACCTCCAGAGAGTCGAAAACACCTCTACTACAAATCATATTCAGCATCCTCAGCTACATGACAAACTTTTCCAAGTCAACTACAAGCAAATTGAGGCTTATGCTGTGACCAGCAGAAAAACCAAGAAGCAGCTTCTAGTGCAGTCATAAGGATATGAGCAAGACGCATTTGTCAATATAGTTCCTTCTGTGTACAAACCTAGAAGCAGGCATGCTGGCAATTGTATCAAACACTTAACTAGCAAAGTCTCCCAACGGAGTCTCTACTTGGACAGCAACAGCAAGCAGGCTAACAGTGCTTGTCACTGAGTCTGTTTTCAAGGAAAGCAGAGATGTACTTTGAAGTATACAGGAACCAATATCACTATAATTATTCAAGAAACTAATCTCCTCTTCTTGTTTTTAGCTATGGTGTAAGTGTGCAGGTGGACTACAGACAGATAGTTGTACCTCCAGATCATCAGATTTTACTCTCAACTTCCCTCGGATGCATTCACCATTGTTGCCATTGGCAGAGTTGTCTACCTCGGTGTATGAAAAAGTTGATAACGCACAGTTTCATGTACCAATTTATGTGATGATATATGACTGTCATCTTATGAGGCTGTCAAACTTTTAAAATGAGCAAAATCAGGAAATAACTAAAATCTCCTCTTGGTGTTTTGGATCTTATTTTGCTCACATTTCTTCTGGCTACTGGGGGAGAAAAATAAGAGGAGGCAGTGGAAGGCTGACATCGATTCTACTTTTTATATGGTCCGGATAAAGTTTAAATCCCGTTACTATAGTACAATTAAAAACAAAATTGCAAGTGCTCTCAGAATTAAGCTCTAGAGGCTTTAGACTATAAAACTAGTACTTACCATAATCTCCATTTTTCTCCAAAATTCTTCCAATTTAGCCATAGGCTTAAGCCACCAATCAGTGCACTTCAAATACCGCTTGCCTTGAAACCAAAACTGCCTGAGCCACTCAAATTCAACCTGCAAGATAAAAACATGGTAGCATAAACATCTATGTTCGTTACTTGGGGAAGGGATGGGGTAATGCATGAATCCAGCTATACCTGAACACCACCATAGAAAAGGAGAAGGGTACCACAGTACTCACTTCTAAATGCACCCTTACACCCAGTTGTTTGTTTTATTTCTATTCCACATGCATTTGTGACCTGAGCTATTCCCTTCAAACCTCAAGAGGTGCAAACCCCAACTCTTTTCTTTACATGTGGTACATGTACAAAGAACGTTAGAAGTTCAGGTTTACTCACAATTCAGTCAAATATGTACTAACTCTGATTACTCTTACTTTGATTAACATTGCAGGTTTGAAAATATTTCAGTCATATATAAAAGATTATGCATTTGTGACCTGAGCTATTCCCTTCAAACCTCAAGAGGTGCAAACCCCAACTCTTTTCTTTACATGTGGTACATGTACAAAGAACGTTAGAAGTTCAGGTTTACTCACAATTCAGTCAAATATGTACTAACTCTGATTACTCTTACTTTGATTAACATTGCAGGTTTGAAAATATTTCAGTCATATATAAAAGATTGAAAAAACTTGCAGTAATAAAATTGCTAGAATGCAGCCTAGCCAATTGCTGTGGAATGAGAGCGTAGCCTTACAATGAAACATAGTTTCTCATACTTCACTGCGCTATGCCCAAGCCCTCCAGCGCAGCAGCGCCCGCGTACCTGAGAGAGAAAGCTTTCGGGGCATCTGAAGTGACCGGGTTTTCCAGGACAAAGCTTGTGTGGAAAATGTGCCTTGCAAAGAAAACTAATCCCCCACTGAAGCAGTAAAAACTCCATCAGGAGCAAGCTAATACTTTTATTAAGGATACGAAACACAGCAAACGATGTAATACTTTACTAGTTGGGTTTTTTAAAAACATTTCATATATCCACGGCCTATCAACTTTAAGACAAGAGAAATATTAGCTTACCAAAATATAAATACATAACTCAGCAAATATTCTTTAAGCAAAATAATTCCATTTATCCCAATTTCCACTAAGCCTTTTTTCCTTTAATAGTAATCCATAGTTCTGGTCTTTAGAATTAGATAAATAGTATTTATCTTTGTTGTGGTAGTTATGTTTCACACTGAGTTCAAAGCTGCTTTAATCATTATTTGTACCACAAAGAAGTTTTTGTTTATCCCTGGCTCAGCTCCGATGATGCAAACAAAGACAACCTGCCAAGGTGAAAGAATAAAGGAAACTGCCCAAAGCTGTCACCCAATGCTTTCTTTCCTGCAAGGGTGAACAGAACGGCTACAGAAATCTGAAAGCGCTCCAGTTAACATTAACTAAATGTTTGGTCAATATATGTTAAAGATTACAATAAAAGATAATTAAATTTGAAGTGTATAAAAAGAATATTAAAGCAGCTTTGTTGGTAAAATATAACAACATGATTAGTTGGCAGACATAGAACTTAAAATATTTTCAAGAAAACTGACTGCTAGCCTAGTGACTTTTTAGCACAGAAGTTTGATGACGTCCTTCCTAAAAAAAGCTGAAGGAAAGTTTGCTTCCTCTACAGTATTAACGAGGTATGAAGGATCAAGTTATGGTTTGCTAAAAAATCAGTATACACAGTTTTGGGAAGGCTGAGCATATCGACAGTTTAACTAGAGTTTTAAGCACTCAAAACTTTTTTCTCCCCCCACCTTCTTTTTGGTTTTGCTGGCCTCTACCACGAAAGGGCTATAACACATGATGTCTGGCAAACATGTTTCAGGAAATGAATCACACGAGGCCATTAATCAATGAAAAAATTTTTTAAAAAAATTAAAATCAATGTTACGATATGGCTCATGACAAGAATCTATTTCAGTCAATCTGATTTTTGACTAGTCATATTGATTTATTACACTAATCTATGTAATTTCAGTCTAATTCAAGTCTGGCATCTTGGCCAAATTTTAAATGTATCTTAATCCTATACAGAATATACAACTTGACAAGAAGAGCTGCTTTCTAGGTGCAAGAGGTAAAGTTTAGCAACAGGCTAGTTAATTTTCTGCAGGATTATCTGGTCTCATCAGAGGTCAGGGTACCAAACTGCAACATGTGGCTGTTTAATGATGTGGACTGCCATTTACTAGGGCTCTCAAACTCAGGTCCACATTCATCTCACAGTTTTAGCTCAGTTTAGCTCTAAACTGAGTTAATAAAATGGGAGTTGGGGAGAAAAACAATGTTTCACCCACCAACTTGGCCATCAAGCTGCTTGACAAGTGACTGCTCTGAACTATCAGCTCTGAACAGATAACTGGTGATTCTGGAAAAAAAAAAAATCATCTTGATGAGGCAATGGTGACATGATTTCTCTATCACTCTCTCCTTGTTTCAGATATATGCAAGCATAAATACTTAGTTTTACTAAAAATCTCCAGAGATTCCAGTTACGCTAAGTTTGTCTGGTATTTTTAACTAACACATAAACACTTTTCACACCGCATCCATTTCTAAGTACATGTTTTAACAAGTACATATGCTATCTGCTTTCCAAGTTCCCTTAAAAGCTGTATGTCTTCTTGCTTTCATTGAACTCTATTCAGTAATATCTTTTCCTGTAGCAGGAAGGCACTCCTATTGGCTTGCCTCCTTCCATGGAAAGGAGGAGCTGTACCAGAAAAAAAAAAAAACACAACAGTAAATACTGGAGAGAGACAAAAAGCTCAATTCTAGCCTTAGTGGAACTGAAGTTACAGAACATTCATCTTCTGTGACAAAACTTTCAGGTTAACAGCTCTTGCCACAGATTTTGTCAGAGATTTAATCTGGAGACTCCCATATACCACAGCTAACTTTAGTTAGCATTAGAAAGCATTTTACATGACTGAACGGGACAAAGCCTGAACATATTAACATATTAAAAAAAAAATATGCTGAGTCTTTTAGGAATAATTTTCACCTCGTAATTAATTTTCACTTATGACTTACATCTGTGCAAGTAAGCTCAGAATCAGGCCTCATATGTCTAACCTCAACATATTTGCATGTTGTCCTTTAAACAATGATTAAAAGGCCAGTTTTAGGTTATAGTCAATACTGGGTAGTAAAAGGCCAACAGTAGCATTTGACATTTTGTGAGGCAGTGCTCCTCAGTCAATTATTTAAAAGTATTGGTTATTAAATGCCACACGTGTAGGTTATCTATATTTTCTCTCTTCTGTACTAGCCAGCCACCAACCATGCTGTCAGCTCACTGTGATGTGCTAAAACATATTAACCTTCCTTTGGCTGCGCACACTGCTACCCTTTCTCAGCAGTGACCTTAGTGTCTAACACTACATACCTTCAACTTTGCTAGCCCAGCTTTTCTGCATCCCTGTGCATTCACCACACTTAAATTTATCTACCGCTGCCATAAAAACATTTGCTGTAAGCAAAAGTGACTGTACCTCACAAGCAATAGAGCAACCAATTCAGACACAAGTTTTAATCATGGTAATCAGGATTTGATCATCACACCTGAGCAAAAACTCTGATGAGGACAACACCCTACCTTTTCAAACCCGAGTACTTACTTTGAAACCTGCTACATTTTCAACACAATCCCCAGATGCTAAAAAACTTCCTCTAGTGTTTTACTTCTTAGAGAACATCCGATTATTAGTTTGGTGTTGGCAAATAAAGAAGCCTTGAAACTACTTCATGCAACATGAACTGTTATCAGAGTTTGCATTATTCAGAGCAAGGAAAACAAATTTTCTTTGAAATGTGAAGAATAGGCTGGCAATGATCTTTTCTGCAGATTTATTTTTACATGTATGAGCATTTACATCATCTGTCCAGCAGTGTTTTATTACTTCAACAAGCATTCGCTTGCCAATGGGTTTCCCCAGGTCCCCCGTAGCTCTGTTTGGGACATACCCAGTAGCTGTATATATTCTGGAAAGCCAAGTGTGATTAGCCAAGTAGAGGCAAGAGGTTCACATTCACTGAACTCTGCAAGATCATTTATTTCAGGATAAATTATTACCGGCCAAACAGCAATCTGATTTTAGGACGAGAGGAAATGGCCTCAAGTTGCACCAAGGGAGGTTTAGACTGGACATTAGGAAAAACTTCTTTACTGAAAGAGTGGTCAGGCCTTGGAACAGGCTGCCCAGGGAAGTGGTGGAGTCACCATCCCTGGAGGTATTTAAAAGACGTGTAGATGAGGTGCTTAGGGACATGGTGGTGGGCACGGTGGTGTTGGGTTAACGGTTGGACTTGATGATCTTAGAGGTCTTTTCCAACCTTAATGATTCTATGATTGCTTAAAGAGGTAACTTCATTCAGTCTCTAACACTATGTGTGCATTGTTAGGCTATTGCACTTCACAGCTGTCCAGGTAATTACTTCTGCTCACCCTCCTACACTCTGTTCACTGGATACCCTGCCATTGAAGGATTTGTTCAGACTTTAAGCCCGTAAGCTACTCAGACAAGCAGCACGTGAACACCCTTAATTAAGGTTATCTTTACTTACAACTACAAAGTACATACTGGAGTGAAGTGACTCACATCTAACAAACAGCACATACCTCGCAATTACTCATATTCCTTTGAAGGCTGTTTTAGTGAGGGAGACCATGACAACAAAGCTAAGTCTAAAGAAATATTAAACTTCTACCTGGCTGCCTGCTTAGAGATGCTAAAAACCTCCTCAGGTTAGCATCTTACTTTCTCGACAGGAAGACCTCTGTCAAGACATCCAAGACAGGGCTCTGACAAATGAACTCTGGGGAATCTAACATCAGTAAAGACATCCCCCCAATACTCACCCATACCTCTTTTAGAGGTTTCTCTGCCCACCACAAAACCGGAAAAAACTAAGTCTCCAGCTACACTTCAGACCTTCAGTTCAAACCCACTTTATCAGCACCGTAAGTCAATTTTCCTGCCCAGGAATACAAAAGTGAAGGCACAGAATCATACTTCATCCTTTCAGACTTGCTCTTAGTTTTTTTCCCCTCTAGCAGAGACAGATAATTCATCCAGACCTCATTTGGCAGTTAATTTCAGCACAGACTGTGAATCTGTGCTAAAGTACTATATTTTAGCTTAGTCACACATAGCCTGATGGTACTGTGATAGTTCTGTTCCAGTTAATGATCTCTGATAACTACTTCAGAGGTGCCAGCAAGAGGGGTGAAAAAACCCAAACCCGTAGCATTTCAGGAAGATAAAGAATCTAGAACAATGGCTGCATCTCATTATCTGAGTTAAGCCCTGTGAGGAACTTCAGTTATGATAATATTTGAAAGTAAAATACAACCGTACCACCTCTTCTAGAGATGGGAATACTACCTAATTTGAAGCTCGTGATCTCTGGTCCAGAAGAATAGAAAAAAATTCACAAGGAGGTTTAGAACTAGCACAGAAAGCCATATAACAGAACAGAAATACACAGGCAAAATTGGGTGGCAGTTCTTCATTAACTCTATGTTTGGCTTTTTGTGCAATTTTGTCTTTTGTATTTAAAAATACTAATAAACTAATGGAAAAAAAAAAACCCAACAGTGACCAAATCCTGACCGCACCAATCAAATGGAAGACTCGTTTTCATCAGTAAACAGTTTGATTCTTTAAAGAAACAAAACACTTTCTTGTTTTTCACCTGCCTGAGAAAATTTGAACCTAAAACCTGTATTAGTGCCTGAAAATACAAAGATTTATCATACAGTGAGTAAAAGAAGGTGGGAAGGTTTCACATGCAAAAAAAGTTGAATTGGCCTCACAGATCCGAATGTTTTTATTTCAGTGATGTCCAAAAAAGAAACATGCATTTTCCACAGTGATAAGCCACTAGTAATTTTGCCTACTTGTGCAACAAATAAATGAAATTTAAATAACACTTTAACATACGGAATTTATCCTTCAAGTAAAGAGGTGACCTTGGGAAAAAAGAATTTAAAAAAAAAAAAAAAAAAGTGAGTGGGTATTCTCTTTTCAAATGAAATATAGATCCAATGTGTCTACTAAGTCTAAGTATGCAATATGTACAAGTTAAACAATGATTTCTGTTACAGTATATCCCATATGCATAACAGGAAACATCCCTGTATGTCACATAGCAAAATTATTCAGGTGACTGCAAACACCAGGGGCTAGTCTCTCACCTGATGTAAACGGCACATGTCTTTGATGTTAAAGGACCCGTGCAAATTTACACCAGCTGTGCATGTGGCCCTAGCTGTGCAAACCACATATGCGTATAGTTTTATGGACTGAGCCTGATTAATGTTTTGTAAAACCCTGCATGCATCAGACTTCTTTAAACTGCTCTAGGAGCTGTTTTGCTAGAAGTCAAGGGTGCAAACCTTTTGCCATCACTATACTCAATTTTACCAACTGTAAACACAACACAGATAAAAATGTGTTCTACAAAGTTTTAGTAACGATACACAGTATTATGTTCCTCAGCAGATAGCAATTTAAACAGTTTACACAAATTCTAATTTGAGTGAAAATTACCTGTGTACTATATGGCTCCTAATAGTGATCATACTTATCTCAGTAGAAATACAGACCAGCTCCTTCAAAATGTCTGAATACAGGAGTGCTGTAAAAAAAAACCCTGATATTTAAGCAAAAAGTGGTTCAGAAGTTTGTATTAACTGGTTGCTATAGCCATTTTTAAAGAGAAATGATTACCAGTGCTTTACTGCTAGGAACAGCTGAAAGCTTTGTTTCAGGTAGAAGGACAGCTTTCCAGAGCAGCTAAACAATCTGTCATTTTAAACTCCCAATAGATAGCTTTGACTACATTTTCTGTAACTTTAGAAAGAAAAAAAAGAAGTCTTAAATTTACCATCTTCAGAAACACTACCCTTGTAAGAAGACCCAGTCCATTGTGTCACATTCCTGACTCTATCCACTAAGAGAGAATAAGCCAAATTACATTTTTTGTGATACTGCCTACATTTTATACCACAGGAAAAATTACCTGTTTCCTCAGTTTCCCAAAATACTGTCTGTATTTTCAGTTCATTTGTCAAATCAATCTGTTTGTTAAGACTCCAGATCTGTACTTCAAACAAGAAAGCACTGCCAGATTCAGTGGAATCCTGTGAAAGTGCATTGTTACACTTGCATATTTTGTAGCACAAAACGACCTATTTAAATATGTTCCTCACAATTATTTCCACTGCATTTTCTTCAGAATATACTTTAAAGCACAAATACAACTGTGTCACACCTGGCATTCTGTAAAAACCTGGTTCAACACCTGACAAACAACTGAAAAATTTTACCTGCTTTTTCCCTCTAATTTTTTTTCCTCTCTCCCTTTTTGTTAGAGAAGTGCTAGAGTAGTTTGGTTTGTTCACCACACTACCAGGTTTGGCGTAATCTTACCGAAACTACTCTTTTACTCTACCAGCAGAGGGATCTTAATGAAGGAAAACTGAAAATTTCATGGGAATGAAAGTATCAATCCAAGTTAATCCCAATTACTGTACCCAAGTAAAAAAGTCATAAAAAACACATTTCAAACTTATACAGAGCAATGTCTTGTGAGCAGCTGAACACATTTAATTGCCATTAACTCCATGAGCAGACTGCACCTCTCAGAATCCGGCAGAAGTATTTTCAGTGCAGATCATCTCACCTCATTATGTATTTCTTCTACTTGCTTTACAACTGCAGGTTCCAGTGATTTCAAAGATAAAGCCACTGAATCAGAATCAGTATGTAAATTCTGGAGTGCCAGTTCACATTGTCCAAATATGTATTCCAATGTTCCTCTTGAACACTATGAAGATACAATAAAAAATGTATATATAGCCACTTCAGAAGATACGTATTTCTCAAATATACCAAACTATTTGCTTCTGAAATAAACAAAGTGAAAGAGCAGAAGGGATGTATTTCTGTAACTTTATTTCATGATCTTTTGAACAAAAGCATAATGCCTCTTGGATTGTCTATATAGTTATTGATACAAATTATGCAAAAATCTAATCCATCAGACATCTAGCCAACCAGTACAGCATAGATTGAAAGGAGAAAGAAAAGAATTCCTTTTAAATTTACTTTAAAAATATGGCATACAAAAACATGGCCCTACTTTCCATTGCTTCCTGGCCAGTTTTTGACAATATTCAGAATCGGCTGTATTTGCCCACTTGTATGGGCTCCCAGTAACACTAAAATGGAGTTCCATATCCAGTTCGAGAGAGCTGTTTGCTTACAAGGTATAGAGAATACAAACAAAAAAAATTTGCACTTCTGCTCCTTTTATTTTGTTTTCATTACATTTCCTTCAAGATGAGAAGGAAATCTGTAAAAATCTTTTTGAAACAAAAGAAAGAAGACATCTACATCTTTTAATTATTTCCAATTAAGTATCTGTACCTTCAGTTAAATTTCCAGGAATAATCTTGAATAAGGACCCCCCAGTCTCATATTCTTTGTAAAAAAAATTTCCATACTATGCAACTTGAAGTCACAACAGTTTACAAAAAACAAAGCATAATCACTTAACAGAGAAGCTTTTCATACTGTGAAAATAAGTGTGCATTTTCCTGCAAAAGTAACACAGAGACGGGAGCAGTAGGTCAGAGCACTCTTAAAATGAAAGATGAAAAATACAGCATTATTTTTTTTAAAATGTACAGTGTACTTCAACTTTATATCAAAATCCCAGTTCAAGCAAGCAGAGTGTATATTTGTTTAGGAAATAAAGGCACTTTTCTTAATGTTACAACGAATATGTATGTATATGTCCATGTTTGGTGCTATTCATTTCCATTCCAGCACAAATTAGGAAGAGTAACGGGGAAAAAAAAAGAAGTATGTGGATACATGTATCTCTCTTGCTTCAATAGTGGTATGTTTTGCCTTGCTGAAAGAAGAAAGTGGTAATTGTAATTTTTTAAAATATCTTTTTACAATACAGTCTATTTTTATTTTTCTGCATGCTTACCCATTAGAATACTACTTAAACAAAACTATTGATAACACCATGGAAAGGAATAGGGAGGAGAAGTCTAGTTAGGGGAAAAAAAAAAAAGGCATCTTAGCACTTGAGAATATCAGGCTGAAGCCTTGTTATCTCAGAATGACTCTGAGACAAGGGACTCTGTATCACTTTTCTGCTTCTTCAATCTTCAGATGCACAGAAGGATCCAACTTAAAGCATACTCATGACTGCTCTTAGTTGTTCTGACCTCCTAAAGGCCATTTTTGCCAGTGGACACTGTTGACATGTATGTTTTGAGTATTTCTATCTCATTGTGAATATTGCCTTTCAACTAGGGCCGGGATATGAACACAGCAAAAAAGTTTTAAAACACTTCAGGTAAAAATACAGTTGTTTCTACATTTCATCAGCAATCCATGAAGTGTGGTGTAGCATATTCTTAACTCATATCTTACGTGCCTAACTGTGAGTCTAGGCAAACTACCAATATAGAAACAAGTGTACCTCAGTCCAAAACTAAACAAATAGCAGTTGTTCAAGAAAACAGTCTGAGTCATAAGCATAACTGTGAACTACAGTTCTGGATAAGAGAATATGAGGCTACATATATGGTACAAGAATATTAGTCTTATGATTGACCAAACAGCAAACCATTTTTGATACTTACATCTGCAACTCTGTGAGTTGAGCTGAATCGAGGTGAAAAACCAGCCAGGACACAGTGCTGATGTGTCATATTGAGATCATCTAGGGACAGATTAGAAAACCTTAAGTACAGGGAAAAAATTATACTTAATAAAACTTATTCTGCCTAATATGAATTAAAGACACTACATTAAACATTTAAAGAAAAAAATAGAGAATTCAGTCAGATAGTACTACCTTCATAGAGCTCTAATATTTAGCACAGCATGATAACTATTCACTGTCCCAGTGTTACAAAGATCTCTATCCATATTAGTTTTCTCCCAGTTTATACAGTTTAGAAGTGGCATTTTCCCACCTCTTATGGGAAAAGTTCAACTAAACAAATTAATTCTTTCAAAGCTGAGGATCACTATAAACAACAGACTACTCAGAAATTACAATTTCTTTCCTCAAAAATCACTAAACAATATTGACATTTCTTGAAAAAAGAAACAAAAGAAGAAAAAAGTCAAAGACATATTATTTCATCTTTTTATCTGAAACTTATCTGAAGTTCTCTCTGCAGCTCAGAGCCAAGAAACTGTGAACCCAGAAAGCACAATCTGCTCAAAGACCTGTCTCCAAAGCATTTCATTTGTGACTTTCTTGTAGCATGCCAGAGGGCTGTCATGGACTTGAGTTCACAAACTGGCAAACAAACAACCCACAACCTCTGTAGGTGTAATCTACTTGGATGCCATCAGTGTGTCGTCAAAATTATCGTAACTGAAGAACACCTGAATTCTGACAAATTAGCACTTTTTAGAGAAAACGTATCCCTCTGGAAAAGTTCAGACTAAAACTAGTAACAACACCTGCTGTTATGCTGAAAACCATTCATTAAGTGCTTTCAATTCAAACCGTTTTGGTGTTAAAATTATGCTGCCCTCTCAACCTTAAGAAGACATTCAGGAACATCTATCAAAAATTTCTGTAAAATCACTCCTGGGTTATAGTTTTGTAAGGTAGCTGAAAGAGACTAAAAAACCATACATATCTAGGTGACCTGAAGCATCACCAAGCAAAAAACCGTCATAGACAAAATTAGAAGAGAACAGGAATAGAGACCTACAAGATGCTAGTTAACTTGGAGTCTGTATTTTCAACAATATCTATTCTTTCAGGGAATTTAGCTTCAGTCATCTTAATACAGCATGATGAGAAATTATCAAGCTTCATCCTTCCATCACATAAATATAATTTCTCTTTAAGAGATCAATATTTGCACACCTGAAACCTGATACCCCAAATTCCTACTAATTTTGGAAAATGCTCTTCTGACCATAATGACAGACTATCAGACTGAAAAGAACACAGTGAGTGAGGTTTAATGGTATTTTCTTTATTACTGAAAAAAGATATGCTCTAAAACTTTTACTTTACCTTGCAACAAATCTGAAACTTTAAAACTGAGAAAAGTCTAATGAATAAGAATTCAGAAAAATGACTGAATTTATCCTAGTTGTAAGAACAGTGTCTTCTTTTTATGAATTTTATAAGCAACTGTTAACAAAAGTTCATACCCAAGACAGCAGGTAGCATCACAAACTTGAAAAAAATAAAAATAAAAATTAGAAAAAACAGTTTATATAGGGAATAGGCAGACAAGTGTTATGAAAGAGGATTGAATTCCCACAGAGAAAGTTTAGATGGGAGGCTTGTTTTCTATTTGCATGAGGTTTGCAGATAGGTGAAGTTGAAAAGCTTGAAAAAACGCTCCAAAACAAACAAAAAGAACATAGGAAAAAGCAACTTCCTACATGAACATATGAGGGTTAAATTGCATAGAGCGAAGGGCCACAGAACAATATCATCTCTGGACATTCCAATATTTAAATATCACAATCGCTTTCAAGAAGAATTGCAACAGAAAACAAACCTAAACACTTCCACCACCCCATTCAGTGCCCATTCATTGCGGTGTGTTTTATGTAGAAAACACAGCATTAAAAGTATTACATTTTGATTTGCACCTTTATTCAAACCCTTGGCAAATCTTTCATTGTAGAGCTACCCCTTGAAATTGCTTCCAACTGTCTCTAATCCTTTATGACTCTTAGAAAGAAGCCTGTAATTTTAATTTAAAAGTTTATAATTCATCTACAACTGTAATTCTACAAAAATAGTTGAAGCTTCATGGATTGCATGTCTCAAAGGACATTTGAAAAATACATTCTAGGTCTTAAAAGATTACAGTAAAGATTTGCTTTTCTTTTTCCTCTAAAAATATATTAATTGAAAAGAAAAAGCACTCTTTGTTAAATTGGCCATTGTCCATGTGGCAGCAAAAGCTTTTATTCAGATACAGAACACTATATCCACATTACTATTTTGGTTTTAGAGCCAAACCAAAACCGTTACCTTCCTTGGACACCCATGTCAAAACTACCATAGCGCTCTCGTGGTTTTAGGTAAAATACAGTACGTACAGAGTTAACATCAGTTTTACATGACTAAACACTGATCGGTGAGGTTTGGAAAACCAAAACACAGCCTCTCCAGTATTATGAATCACATAAAATATATGCATATAAAAGTAGGAATATATGTATCAGTCCTGCTTTGGAAAACTGCATGCAGGCAAGTTACTTGTCAGACAGTTCTCCTGAATTTGTGGTGAAGAAAGAGCCAACATGGCGTCTTTTCTGCCACGAAACAGTGGGCCCTCATCTTGCCACAAATTCAGGACAACTATGGCAGGGAGATCTCATTTCAAAATTATTACAAAAACAAAACCCCACAAAACTTATGTGAACTGTAAAATGCATATGAGAAGTGACTTTTTATTTTAAATCACCATTAATACCAACTTAGCAATGTATTTAGCGCCGTTTCAAGAACTGTCACACAATGCCTTCTCCTTTCTAAAACATTCTTGCCTTCCATATGGATGCTTACGAGATGCATATGCCAGTTAACTAACTGCTAGGTAAGAAAGAAGTTTTGAGAATTGGACTACAATTTTCTGCTTTCATGACTGTTCCTCTCCCAAAGCTTTCCCACATCTATGAAAAATGCTGTCACTTGCACAGACTATTTTTCTGAAGTCTGATCAAGCTTTTCGCTTCTTTATAAATTTTAAAACACTACAAATTATTCAAATTTAACATAGTAATTCTAGAAAACAATCAAGAAAAACTAATGAAGTCCAATACATGCTAGAGTGCTATCCTGACCAAAGAGAATTTTCTCAATCAAAGCCTAATCACGCACATTAAAGCTATTCATATTTACCTGTATTAACAGGCTACCATTGTGCCACCAGCCACTGTGCAAATGTGGATGATTACTTGCACTTCAGGCAGTACAATGCTTAAATCAGATTCCGCAAACTACTCACAATATTGAATGCTTGTTTGCATTCAAAGGTACACAACTTGGTAACAGACACTTGGTGTTTGAATGCTGGAAAAAAAACCCCTTCATTTTTCTGTCTGAGGTGGAGCACCTAAGAAACAATGAGACTATTTCCTGCATACATGTATATGGCAAAATCCATATTTCTTTTAAATGGATTGTTTTATTCTTTTATTTCTACTACTTTCTGCCTGCCACTTCCCAATGAATCATCTGCCACCTTACGGCCAGATCCCATTATAGGGCTACGATAGCTGAGGCAAGATTTATTAAAAGAAATTAATCACATGTATGATTGTGTACAGGTGGCCAAAGCCACCTTGGAAAACAAAGTTATCAACCTGAAGTCTGTTTAAATAATTTGGAGGTCAGATTTTGACTTTACAGATGAAGTACTAAGAAGTCGTAAGAATGTTTAGCAGATGATCTGATTAGTTGCAAATGCATACAATTACTTGACACAGAATCTGCAGCTACAGAAACTTCAGATAACACACCTTGTGCAAAACATAGTTACAAAATGGAGTCTTTATTTAATACAGATCCCTATTCCTCACACCTGCAGGGAAAAGGGAAAAAAAAACCCCAAACAACACAAAACCATCTAAGCTACTTGGTGCTTTAACACATTGTCCATGCAAGGCCTCTGTAAAGTTGGTAACTGACACAGAAAAACCTAAGGGTAAGGAGAGGTTAAGGGACTTGCCAAAGTTTGCATGGAAATTCTGTGAGAGAAGCAGGCTTACAGCTAGCTCCTAAAACTAAGACTATTGTTTTAACACCTGACCATCCCTCTACTACCAGATGCAGACTATTATTCTCTATGTGGACCCCCTTATCAGACAAGCTTCCCAGTGATTTCCTGCTATTTATAGACAGCAGATACATTTTGGAATTTGGATGCTGCATATTCTATTTTAAATTGTGGGAGCAGGTTCATAGATCTTTCAGTCCCTCCCAGACAGACTTCTGCCATCCTGTTCTTTTCTCAGATACATCCCTCCCAGGACAGAATCTCAGCACAGTCCTCTCCACTGCTTGCGACTACTGCCAGTTCGTCTCTTTCCTCTCTGATCCTGCTTTTCTCAGCCCACGTCCCTGTTCTGTCCACACCTCACTGCATGCCTTCCTCCAGACAGCTGAATTACCTGGGCACCAACACCAGAAACACAAAGCCCTGTGCTTGCCTAGCCTTTGTCAAAAGAACGGAGTAATAGGTATGTGTATGCATATACACGTAACTAATATATGTATAACTTATTACTTCTAGGTAAAGTACATCCCAGGAAAACACAAACCACAATGGAAAATGCTCTCAGAATTAGCAACAGGGGTTTATATCATCTTTTCTATCTTGCTTCAAGTGTTCTTCCTGAACTTTTTAGACAGCTGTCTTTTTGTCATCTATTTCATGAAGCAGATAAAAGGTACAGTGGGGTTTAAAGCACTGGCAAAAGCTGATACTCTGAACACCACAAATATCTACAAACAAAAGTGAAATGGACTTGCGCTATTAGTTTTCTTAACTACTATAAACAAATAAAGAATTTTTTTTTTAACCATAGAACAATGCAATTTTCAAAAGCACTAAAACTCTTTTCCATCATTTCCAATTCTACTTGTATCCAACTGCACACAATGCTTCAAGAGGAAAAAACCTAACCAAACTAATTTTACTGTAGGTATGTCAACAAAAAGCACCAGGAAGGTATGTCTCCTTCCCCAAGAAAGTATGGGTCAATGGAATACTACTTTCATAACAGAAAGCTAGAGGGATGATCTGTCCCTAATTAAGAAATATTTTTAGTTTTTAAACAAGAAAAGTGTGTACAAACAAAACACAGAATGAATTAAAAGGCTGAACTAAAAATGTCTGGGATTTGCCAAACTTCATGATCAAAGTTTGGTAACAACAAATAAGTTTCTGGGGTTCGAAGTCTTAATAATCAAGGAATATAGCATTTGGATTAAATGTGGACTCAAAAAAAAAAAAAGGGGGAGGTTAAACAACTCCAACACATTCAAGATGCTAGAGAGCAAAGAGGGTTCAAGTTAGTTTGTGGAAATAGAAGCAGATTAAATATCTAGAAATAGTTTAATGAGCCACTATATACATGTGGAAGTGTTTCCATTAAATACTTATCTTTAACCACAAGCCAACCTCTGCAATGTGTGCCCCCTACTTCTGGTTGGTTATGAAAATTATTTTTTGATGCTTCTTGAACTATAATTTGCTGAGGGTGGGGAGGGGTAGAAGATTCCAAGTTCATCTTCATGCTGTTTTAAAACCCTAACCTTCAAGCAAGAGCTTGATCTATGGGAAACAGCTGCAGAAAAGTAAATCTCCCTTTGAAAAAGTCCAGAATGTATTTTTGTTAAGTATGTTTTGAAGTCATGGTAGGAAAATTAGTGAAAATTGTAAATCTGCTTGCAAACCTGGTCGTGTCTAACTCAAAGATTAGGGGAAAGATTCCAATTTAATAGTAAGACCATGACAACCCTAGTTAAGCATGCTCTAGGACAGAGCAGATGGGGCCCTTTGCTCACCTCCACGCGTTTTGGATTTATTGCATGCACCCAACACGTTTCATATTAGACACCCCTCAACTGTGTACTTGAGACAGCAGGATTCAGTATGCACTTCCTCTGCAGACCAATATATTATTCTAAATTGAGCTAAAGTGTTTCCGTTTCATGAGTGATATAAAGTTCAGATTTGAGTTTTTAGGCAGCAGATTTGCAGTCATTCAGCAGATCTTTTTTCTTCATATTAGGAAAAGTAAGCCTTAAAAAAAATAAAAATCTGTCTTACTGAAAGTAATTTTGGATTTTGTTTGGTTTTGTTTAAACAAAATACATTTATATTATTGTAATAGCTTACTTGAAGGACGGATATGATCACCTAATGTTTAGTACATTTAAATAATGGCTTATGATTTCATCTGAAGAGGACTGCTGAGAATGCAGGTGCAAATGTATATTTTAAGACTGCATTTTACTAAAATTCTACCCAGAATAACAAAAAACATTTTACAGAGCCAATAAAGAGAGGAACACAAACATTATTAAATGTCTACTAGAAATGCTAAAAAACACCCCCAATGTTTTTGTTACTTTGATATACCCATTGGGATTTACAAGTTACTGCAATTGCACATTACTATTAGAAATATTAAGTTACCACATTTTCTTATCTAAGATTTGTGTGTACAGTATTAGGAAATAGTTAGGGCATTACAGGTACAGGAATTGATAGGACCTGACTTTTTAATTATAAAGAACATACTGAATTTGACATTTCAGCATTTTACAACATTCATATAAAGCAGCAAGCACTATACCATTTCAACAATTGGAAGAACAGACCTACAGAGTTGCTGAGTTTTTTGCTAGAGTTGGATAAGTCAATGGTAGTCAGAAATAGTACACAGTCCTACCAATCAGCCCCTGTACATCAATAGCTACTACTAGCTGCAGTACTCTTATCTTTGTTATCTTTTCTAGATGCCTTGCATACTGCTGCCACTGCTTTAAAATAATGCCAGCGAGAAGACTCTGCTTACTGAAATGAGTTTCTAGAATGTATGATGTATAAAGGCACAAGATAAATGAATCTAAAATTGGCTTCTTTATTGTCAAGTTACTTTTTATACAAAGTTTTCATATTTTATCTTTTAGATGGCATCCTCAAGATGCCTCCTCTTAAAAGTCAGTTTAAAAAAATCTGAACAGTAAAAAATACACTAAAACCGTATACATCCACTTACATTGTCTTTCACTTCAAGTGAAAATGATAAAGGTAGTTCTGCTGTACATAGAAACCTAATAAAAGGGCCAGTTTGAGAATACTCTCTCAGACTGTATAAAATAATAATTTTTTTAAAGTAATTGAGAAAAAAAAAAATTACAAAGGCTATGGAAATGCAGAAGAGATTATCAAACACCTGGCCTACAGAGCTCAAATCTGTAGCTCTCCACAAAGTATTAATAAGAAAGTGATTTACACGTCATCTTCAAAAGAATGTTTAATATATCCTTTGTTTCCATCTAAACATGATCACGATGGTATGTGTTAATTAAACTAACTTTCTGACCCACCCTTCATATAGCATCCCTGATAATACTTTAGTTACCGTATATAAATTCCATCGGGGAATAAATAACGTCCTTATGATCTGGTAACTCAGTCAACTACAATCTACAGTATTTTGCAATAAAAATACTGAAGTTAGACCCCTTCTTTTATTACTTGCCTTCTGAATCTGTTGCCCAGCAAAGCTGAGTATGCACAAAGTTTCCAGTCAGGAAGGATTAGATAAGAACTTTACTTATGATGCCTGAAATGCTATTGCACAAAAATGGATTAATAATTCCCTTTCCAGGTATGTTCAGCTGCCACTTAAACGTCACTTTATATAAGAAGTGTCTCCGTTTCCCCTCCAGGCTGCTACTCTATATCCTCGCAAATACAGAAAAGGGATGCACATCCACACCACTGTGCCAAAGGATCTCACATCTTAACAGTTGATCTGTTCATGTCTAAACATGCTTAAAAAGCACAGACAGTCCAGTTCTTTTCCACAAGATACTTCACTGATAACAGTGCACAGGATTTGATGAGGTAACTAAGAACATGGAACGGTATATGTTTTTTAAGATTGCCCACAAATGTATTGCTTGTACTAAGGAAACTGTTTTCATATTTGTTGGAAGATAAAAAGTGAAAAGACTGCTCAGCCCAACAAGTTGGCAGTGCAACAGGTCATTCTAGGGACGTTCCATGGTGTCTACCTTGGACAAACACATAAACAGGGAACACTGCAAGTACTCTCACTCTTCGAAGATGACGTCTGTCAAGCTAAGTCACTAAACAGGCAAACACAGTGATGTCAGAAGCGTTGTTCATGTTTTGAATTGTGTAATTTATAACTAAATTTTTTTAAACAAAATGATAACTAAGAGAAACACAAGCCAAAAGAGAAACAAACAGATTTTGTGTCAACAAACCCTAGCCACAGTTCTTACCTCATTTCTTTCAATGGAAAAACCTTAGTGTGTGAGCTCAGCTGCTCAAGTAAATGAACTCAATTTAATTTTTTTTTTTAATCCTCTACACTTTAGACATTGAGACCCACTCTTGGAGTATGACAGCTCTGTTCATTATGATCTTAGTATAATCCCATTACTAGAAAACAGTATGTTTGAATAACACATGGAAAAGTGTAGCAGGAGAGAAGTGTCATATCTAAAACTGGTGACCAATATAACATCCACGATTGGCATAATGGTTGAAACTTCAAGAACCATGGTACCAGAAAACTTTAAGACTGCTACAGTCATAGCTTCTGCAACACGTAGCCACGCTATAAGCCAAACTCATGAACAGGAATTTTTTTTGTTAAACATAACAGATGCAGATGCTCACAGTTACTCAGTAAAACTGCATTAAGAACAGAAAAGGAATCAGCATCTACAAATACAAGTTGAGATACAGCTCAACTTCTCACAAGATCTGGGGAAATTCTGCTTATGGGCTGAAGCCTGACTTGGACTAGCAATTCTGACTGCACAACAGACAGAAAAGGCTCAAAAAGAATATTTCCTTTCTTAGCTGTGAAGTGAAGGAAACATTAGGAACAAAAAAGTTCCCCAAAATACACTGGAAGTGGGTAGGGTAGGAGGAATTTATTATACACTCTAGCCAGATCTCATGTCTTTCTAAACAAGGGAAGTCCTTGTGGAAGGAAGGTATGATAATCTATATTAAAATAACTGTCATTTTCTCTGTTTTCAACAGGAAGTTCACCTTCTTAGCCCTTGAAAATTACCAAGCATCAAGTAGAAGTCTCCTTGGTGAAGTGGTATTACTAATCCAGGTGTCTCTATGTCCCATGCTACCTTCAAGCCTACGTGCCAAACAGCTGGGTCTCTTCCCTTCAGTTTCTGTTCATTACTTTCCTCCACGGCTGAACCTTTAAAGAGAGAGGGAAAAACACCACAAAGACAACAGGTGAGAACCATAAAATACAAAATCTGGTCTAACAATACAGACTTCACGATATCCCACATTGGTACAATCTTAATAGGCTTAAACTTTCTATAATCTCAATTTGGCATAATCGCCATCTCCAAATTCAAAAGTACGTAATAGGTAAAAAAAAAAAAAGCCATAAGAGATCAAAAATTTTTTGCAACCAACTTTACTAAGATGAAAACTTCATGTTAACTACAAAGTAAAGGCAAATCAAGGCAAAGTTTCTAATGGACTCAAGTTTTTCTGAAGTTCTAAAGTACATGTAATGGGAGTTTTAGTTAATCTTCACTCAATTTTTTTTTTTTTTTTTTTTTTACATTACTAAAACCATAAGCATAGAAGAAAAAAGAAAAAAATGCAGCAAAACTGATATAAAAATAGGTAACTTCTGAAAGAATTTCAAGTCATAAACTGCCAAAGCATTTTAGGAACAATTTAATTTGTTTACATACTTGTAATTTCACCAAATCATAAACTGAGGCAAAGTAAGGTGAAATAATGGGCACAAAACACAGTTTAGACCAACAAAGTTGAGCGAATCTTGGAATCATATCTGTCATTCTTTCCTCAAAATTATTAGTCAAAGATGCTAGATGACGTGTGTAAGAACCAACGAAGCTTCAATACTTTTGTCACAACATTTTTCTTATCATTAAGCAACATGAATGTGTTGAGCTTGGGGAAAAAATAATCCACTGCATAGAAATAGCATTTAGAGCTTAATCCCTCAGAACTATTTTCATAAGCTTACTTCACTGCAGTATAAATTGAAAGATACAGTCAGCATTTATAACAAGGTATTTGGGAGCTATGGTATAACAGTTTTATGGCTAAAGTAACAGAGCATTTTGACAGAGGGAGGATGAAGTTTTAATAAGGAGTTGGCACAGAATGGCAGTGAACAGTTAGAAATCATCAACTATGTAGCATGCCTAATTATTGCTTATAAGTTAGTAACTGTGTGTGTACATTTCACTATCCATTTCAAATGTGCTTTCATGTAATAATTTTTAAAACTTTTGTCTTAATTCTAAAATAAAAATACTAAAATAAAGATTTATAACTCTTATTATAATATGCACATATAAAAAGTAACCTTGAACTCACACCTTCGAAATATTCAAGTCATTCATCTCACATGGTTACTGCAACGTTTGTTTAGTTGGGAGTAGCCTTTAATAATTAATAAATTGTCTTAATTTTCTATGTCAATTAAATATTGCCTAAATTCAGGAAGCAGAGAGCCAAAACCTTTTAAAAAGCCAATCTAAAATTCTTAGTTAAAACTCCTACTGTAAATTCAGTCCCCGTATTCCCTCCCTCCACTGCTGCAGTTCTCATCCAGCTGAAGCTTTGGCTCAGGAGCAGCTCTAGGCCTTTTTATCAAGGAGCACACAAATGAGAAAACAAGAGCTAGCAAATACTCAGAAAAATCAATACTAAAGTCTTCAAGGGGCTTTCATATTTTCTGCCCTGTTCAGATAAATCGTAACTTAATTTAAGAAAAATGTTTTCTGAAAACTGCAAATAGGATGGCTTTCAAGGCATTTTTAATGCAATACATCATGGATATTATAAAAAGAGGTAACCTTTCTGGGTTAACTCTCTCTGTTATGCTGCTTTCCCATTCACTTTGGCAGCAGCACTGTTCACAATATGGCACCAATAAAATATAGAACTACAATCAGAGACAGCAATTTCAATCAAAGTTTCCTGGGGTCTCCTCATAAATCCAGCACCTTTGGAATGTGCTCGTTAAAATGACTTATTTTTTGCAGTTTGATAAATTTTTTATTGCTTAAGTACAGAGTTCAAATGTAGCTCACAGTCTCCTTTTCTCTATATTCTCAATTATTGCACCTTATAATTATCAGCAGCAATTGAAACTGATTGCTCCTACAGTGTTATTTTGGTAACAAATGGAAGCAAGCTGCTACTAGCTTTTAAATGCAAGCTATTCTGAAAGTGAGAGCAAGGAAAAAAAAAAAAAGACACCTTAAAATTTGGTGTATATCTCTAGGTAGCACTGACAAACTTTTACGTAAAAAGAAGTTGTTATTAAATTCTGTATGTCACATCCCAAGCATGACTGAATGTTGTGTATTCATTGATACAATTACAGTTCCCATTTAAGTGAAAACATTTGGATGCATCTAAACCATAGGTATTTGAGAGTAAATCATGTGGATCTTGCACATACACAGCACCTTAAAAACATGTATTTAGTTTGGAGTAGACCATACAGAAATGGTAAAATGTAGCAGTATTTAATGGAAATATAATAAAACTATCTGCAAATTTGAATTCTGTTCATTAAAGATTTATAGAATTTGGCCTGCAAGAAACCTTTACGCTTGCATCCCAAATGAAATGGTGCAACCAGGTAACAAGCTTACCACAACATAACAACAAAACCTCATCAAAGCTGTAATTAAGGTAGAACCATGAAAGAAAGAATGTAGCTTCAGAAAATTGGCCACAACATTATGCTTCTAACTAGACAGCTCAAATTTCAGAGATGTTCCAGCTCTAAGACCCGATCTTATCGGGTTTGGGTCATGGTTAGGTTCAGAACAACATGAAACTTGTTTTCCTGGATCTAGTTTGGTTATTGTTCCATAGCACAGAAAGTAAAAGCAGCCTTGAAAGGTTTCTTTGCTATTCGGCACCAAAATCTTCACAAAGAGTTTAAGAGTTTTTTGACACTCTGAAACCTAAATGTTTTCTATTAAAGTCAAATTGTAATGCCAAACTATATCCTAAATGTAATCTTAAATCAAACATGATTTCGCAGAAGACAGAATCACTGCCAACACATTGCTAAAAACAAGCAGGACTGTAAACATCTACTTTGTCATTAAATCCAACTGACCATTGTTATATAGATACAGAAAAAAGAAATTTTTTTTTTTTTTTTTTAACAGATTGATTGATTTTTCCAGAATTAAAAAGAATTTGGGCACGTGTTCAGTGATTAATGAAATATATACATTATTACTGTCTTCCATAGCAATTTATATATGTTATATGCACGAAGTGAAAAAAGCAGAGCATGCGTTGCTTTTCAGCTGCTGGTGGGAAAGAATGAGTATCTACCCAGAGTTATTTCTTCTACCTTATTACTGAAAAGCCATAGCTTAAAAGGTTAATTTAACTGTACTAACATTTTAACTTTTGCTTGCAACTGACATTCACAACAACAAAAATCGGAGGATTTGCCAACATTGTTCTTACCAATTCATATTTGGAATACTGTCTCCAAATACATCAAGAACAAAAGCACTAAAATAAGAACAAAGAATATTCTGTCATCCCTTCATTCTTGAAGGAGAGACTTTATTTGATCAAATCAGTGAGAGCATGGTTTAAAAAAAAAAACAAAACAAAAAAACAAACAAACAATCTATTATTCTAAGAGTAATTGGATCATTAAAAATTTGTGATTCTCTCAGAAAATAATTCCAACTGGCTAGAACCTACAAGTTACAGATGTGACCATTTCACTCACATATTAATTTCTTAAGCAGTAATATGTATTTTTCTACATACCATTTCTATTCTTTCAACAAGCAATATTTCTACCATATTATTGACATTAGAAGCCATTTAATATAATTGCTCTCATCCTGTACAAACATCTACTCCATGACTTTTATCCATTAAGCAGTACATAAAGAGGATTATTGGTCAAATACAAATTTAGATTGACTTCAATTCTGAACAACTTTTGTAGTTTCAGGATTTTTTTTTTTTTAACCTAGTGAGGAAACAAACATCTGTAGTGAATCTCAATTATTTTTATTCACAATTACTGTAGAAATAAAATAGCAGTCATTAGGTTAAGTGCTAGGATATTGCTTCTAACATTGCAGTGTGAAAAAATACAAACAGCATTTTACAAAAGAAACAAGCATAAAAGCTCCTTCAAAATCAGTCATTACTGCAACTAACTGTAAGTTTGTTAAACCTCTCAACATTACCTTGTCAGCGAACAGAGCCAGTTGTTTAGTAGTTCAAGAGATTTATATAGCAAGTAGGCCTTACAGCAAGAAGACAAATGACACACTGTAAAGAATCTAGAGAAAACTACTCATCGAACCTCAAACATAGTTTGTGGGAAATCCAGGTAAGAGAAAGATGGACACTTCCAGTGACTACATTATTTTCCATCTCCTTTAAGTTGGTAACTGAAACAAAGTCTCTACTTCAAAGAACATCTTTAGAACCAAGTAGTGCTCTGCTAAGCAATAAAACTTCCTACAAAACTTACAAAGACCTGAGGGAAAACTGTTCATTAGGAAATTTTCATGGATAAAATCCAATTTCGGAAAATGCCCTTATTTCACCAGTATTTGGTTTGCAATTCGCTTTTATAAATAGAGCAGGAAATAAAAATGAGTTATTAGCTTACTGTATTAAAATCCTGAACAAGTTTTTACCTTAATGCTCTCATGTGATAGGATATTTGTAAGCTAATGTGTTATTAAAAATCCCAAATTGGTAAAAATTTGGAATTCTTGTTCCATGGTAAATTCTGAAAGGTAAATTAATTCTGAATAGTGTTAGTCACAGTATAATTGAACACACATTCTGTCACATATTCGGTTCTGCATATGCACCATGACGACTCATGCACTTTCATGCAGTATACACATCAAAATGAAACTTCCCAAATTTTTGTAAGAGTCTATTCTTATTACTTGATAACCTACTTTTAACCTAGTGTAATGTAATGCATTTTATTTTAATGTAAATAAAAGCAAATACTATTCAGATGAGCATTAAGCAAAACATCTATCTTATTTTGTCATTAGAAATGTACCTCATTTGAATTTGCTTTGAAACAGTTTGACACGGGAAACAAGAAAATAAACAGTGATACTAATTAGAATATCAGCTTGTTCCAATATCTTTATGTTGGCTCTCAAATTTCTTTTCTGGCATATTAAAAACTGCTTCTACTCCAATTAATACTGATCAAAGTTTCAAACATTAAATTTTCATTATGGCATCAAACACTGAACAAGTGAACAACAAAATAAAGTTGTTTCAATTACAGCAGCATCTGTTTTAATAGTATTTAATCAAATAACTAGGTACCAAACAAATAATGATATAAAAATGCAAATTAAAGTAAAAAGAAAACCATATAACCTGAGCTGTGCATCTCTAAACAGTCTGACAAACAGCTGCCATAATGCAGTTAAGATTGCTTGACTCCTAGGGCTCCTGCTATTCAAAATCTGAAAACCTGGGGATTCTGCATATGTGGCAGGATAGACTGATACTAGCCATGAAGCTTGGGAAGCCCTAGCTTCCCCATGCTACGGGGCTGCCACAGATCCTCAGTGATTGGAGTACCACAGAGACCAGTGAGAATTTGAGCAATAGAGAGCTCACAAAAAAATGTGCAAGACCTAGCAGAAAAGAGAATCAAACTAGTGTTAACAAAAATCAACATGCTTAATTTATGTTTGAATTTCCCACAGAATCAGTGTTTTCTCCCAGAAAATTACTAATCCATCTCATCGATGTCTTCTAAGGAAAAATTGTTCCATCAAAAAATTTCTGACCACCTCTACCCTTTTTATTATGTATTCTATAATGATTCTGTGATAGTCTTTATACACTACAGTGAGAATTCAATGCCAACTCAATACTAAATGAATTAATGGAGTAAGTACTAATAAAAGATATTGGTGTAAAAAGCAAATATATTCATGGAAAATGGGAAGAGGAGTCAAGATACGATTCTACAAAGATTTAACAACAATCCTCAAAAAGATGTGGAGCTTCTTCACGCTTCCCAGTTACAGAGAGCTTGGTAAGAGATCTAGTAAATATTGACAGTCTTTATGAACTGCAGAAACCACCAACACATTGAAGTGATATGGAACCGGAAAGAATAATATTATAAGCACTGATAAGTTTATAACCACCAGCATTTGAAAGCTATAAAGAGGAAATCAGAAGAGCAAAAAGACAATCTATTTATTTCTCTAAAATCAAGTAGACTAATTACTCCTCTTGGATGCGCTGGGTAGAAAATTTCAACACACACAAGTATTTACTGTCACTTTAATTACAATGCCATATTCATAAACTATAAACAGGTTCCATTTCCTCCAATTTATGAGTAAGTGGGCCAACTATAAAAAAGGCTTCACTTTAGGGATATACAACAACAACCACAACCTGAACACAGACAGATGCGAGTGAACTGTTTTCACATAAAGGTATACTACAGGACATTTCCTCATGATGCTCAAGAGCCATGCTAGGCACCTTAAATTTCCTCTAAAGTTCATGAAACCAACTTGAGCCATGCTCAAGAGTTACCAAGTGGAATTCAACCTTGTTCAGATTTAGATCTGACTGCATAAATAATTTTCTTCCCAAAAAAGTGTCTTTTACACTATCTCCAGCTACACTGAGGTTTTAATATCACCACCTCCTGCCAAGTGACTCCCCCCCACCCCAATATAATCAAAAACTTTTGGAATCATTGCAAAAATACAAAAATTTTATGTAAATTTTTTTTAATGTAAATTATAATGATAAATTTATTCACTGGAAAGCTCTTAGCTTTTTTAAGCTTTCATGTCTATTTTTAAATCCTTCAGGAAAAAATAGAATCTTTTAAGTGTATTTATGAAAAAATCTTGTATGTGGCAAAAACATTAATTACATATAGATATCAAAATAACTTTTGGTCTAAATATATAAAATATTTCTTTCTACCCTCATCAATCAAATCTTGTATAGAATTTGCAGTGGTTTTAAAACAGCATAATTTTTACCTAACTTGCTGAACCTGAAGAAACAAAATCAAGGGACGAGTTATGAATAAACATAGCAGCTTTCTTTTTTGTTAATTTATAGCTCTCTGAACTTAAAGGGACTCATTTTTTCCCCTCCACAAGGAAGTTTTATGTTAAGTAAAAAGTTTTTAAGCATATTACAAGAAATCCTCACACATGCTATTAGCACAAGTTCATGCTTATGCTTCTTTAAATATTTTTTCAGTTATGAAGTTATCTACAGTACTACTGGGAAAAAAAATACATTTACTGGACATAAAATATCAACATCTTTGGCAAATAAGACAGAAAAAAGTTCATGAACAAAATGACACTTCTACTGGTCAGGGAATCTTTTCTATTCAGTTTGCTAAGCCAGCTGATGTTTTATGTCCAGGAAAATGTAAATATGACTATTTCAGCTGAATGTTAAATAACAAAGTGACCCATAGTTTCAAAACTAATAACAAAACTAATAAGAGAATGCACATGAAAGTATAAGCTATTATTTTTACGTCATGGTCTTAAGCCAAAACCTATCTAGTCAACGTGAATTTTTCCCATGTTTTGAAGCAAACATCAAAGGATTTTTGGAAGGACCAAAAATCAGTTGTGAATTATGAAACATAAGGGAGCATTTGCAAATTCAAATCAAGTGTCTAAATTCTAATCTTATGTTTGCAAAACTGGAAGCCATTAAAAAAAACCTCCAAGGCTTTGTTCAAAAATTGTTAGGAAAAAAATAAACAAAAATCTTCATGTCTGTCTTTAAATAAAGACAAAGATGGGAAAGGTACTTTAAACTAAAAATGAAATTATTTAATGACTCTTCAACTACAGATGGTTCTTAAATCACTAAGAGCCTGCAAAGCCTGTCAGACAACAGGTCTTTTAATGGAAAACTTCCACCCTTCCCAATTATAGAAACATTGGCAAGTCCTCCGCAAAACGTGCATTAGCACTACAGCATGCCTAGACAAAATGTATATACTTCCAAATAAATACAGTAATACTTATACAAAACCAACCCAAAATGATCTTCCCAAAGAAAGAAGAGCAGTAAAATCAGCATAAAGCAGAAGCAAGTCTGTATACGATAATAACACAATAAAGACTGATCTCAACTACAATGAAACATTTTACAGAATAGAAAATATGCACATGTGCTAACCTGAAATATGTATTTGATAGATTTTGATCTCCTGGCTCTTAGTCAGGAAGTTAATTATACCAATTTTTAAATCTACTTACAGAACAACTGATAAGCCAGCTGCAGTAAACACAGGTATATTTTGTACAGGTTTTAGTAGAAATAAAGATAGGGCTTAAATACAAAAAGTACCACAACGTATTCAGAAGCACGTGACAAATCTAGACTAGCATGCAGGTGTGCTTATGTACATACACACAAGAAAACATAAAAGAGCTTCAGGGATTTAAGATACTTATATCACTAGTCAACTCATACCTCCCATTACTCACCTTCACAGCTGTAGCTGTACACAGCAACCGTTGACCTTTCGACCAGATTCTCGTCATGGTGCCAGCTCACTGCCATGTTCCCCATTCCAAAATAAGGTTCTTGTTTCAAGTACAGCATTTGTAGTGGATCCATGTAATTTAATAAAGTCAAGTTATAAGATGTTCTGTTCTTTAGACTTATGTAGTCATCCTCTGGTACACAACAACTGCTTTGATCTTTTGAAACAGACCCTTTCTCCGTAAGAGAAGTAGCAAAATTTTGCTCCCTATCTATTACAGTAGTATCTTTAATTTCTTTCTCAAACAAATTTTGTCCTTGTAATGCCTTGACTGCTTCAATATGCAAGTAGTCATTAAGTCTGAATAATGCTTTACAAGCATCATGTATTTGAGGACTGCAATATTTTATATCATAACCTTCAGTAGGCCAAGGAACTGTAAATAATCTTGTGTTCAAGTACTTGTAAGTGCATCCTGGGTTTCCAATTAATATACGAGACACTGGGGTAACAAAATCTTTTCCTTTGATCCTTACAAGATCTTGAAAGAAACAATCGTGTTTTCGCAAGGTCAGAAAGCCTTCTTGTACCATTTGATGGAGCTCTTCAGGAACTGTATCAGATTTTCTGAAAATCAGCTTGGAATATTTGGTCTTCCACTAAAGGAGGGGGAAAAAAAAAAAACCAAAACCATAATAAAACCAGCAGAACAACTATTCTTTTTTCAGGAACCAAAGTATTTCATATATTCAAGAACAAACAAGACTAAGTTGACAAGTTATCAAGCATGAATCTAGAATGTGGTGAAGAAATAGATGCCAGTATTTGTTACTCTATTTTCATATTCCAATACATCGCATAAACAGTGGATATGTACCAGTGGCCTGTAACCAGAGAGTATCACCAGGGCAAATCTCTAAATACATAAATACATCTGAGGATTCTGTCAGAAATCAATAGAACATATAAGCTCCCCTGATGAATCTGTAGATAATGCTACCTTTAAGTATACAAACAATGGAATATTAAGCAGTAATAAGCGACTCCTCTTTTTGCAATGGTTGCAAAGACTGTCCTGTCTCATTCTGATGTACAGAATTCTAGAGGGCTACATGATAAACTGAAATAGTTTTATATAACAACAAGTTTTAGGGCAAAAAATAACAAAATGAAAATGTAAATTTTGAAAAAAGGCCAACATTCTGCTGCACTGCACTTCTATCTTCAAAACAGTCCTTGACATACTGGTCCTTTCTATTTTCACATTCCTTAATGCATGCCAATTAGCTCTCCTATTTTATATAAAAGTTCCCCTTTAGCTAAAAAAATATTTTCCAAACTTATTTTCCTGCCCATCTCCCCACCACACCAGCTCTAGTATCAGCTGGAGTTCAGAATCCAGCAGTTTGTGGAGGCAACAACTCCCAGCAAGGTATGACACTGCTAATCAGCAGTATCTTGCTTCGCATGCAAAATACTGCTTCCCATTCCAGAAAGGCTTGGATAATTTTATTTTGTTAATCCGGTTTTCTAAGGAAGTGAGTATCACGTAATCACGCTTTTTATTGGTTGCCTGTAAATCTGCTTTAACTACTGCTGAGACTGTTTGGCAAACTGGACAAAGGCTAGAGAATAAGTTTTTAAACAGACTAAGTTCCTATGTATTTCATTAAAATTAATAGATAAGTAAAAGAAACAGATGCAAAGTAGTGCCCTTAGTAAGGGAAAGGCTGTAATGTGAGCCTACCAAGTGTCAATTAGCATATGTGAAGCTCTGAACGACTCACTACACCTATTTCCTTTTGTCCAGAAGTTAGTCACTAGTCTCTGGAAAAGGTAGATACTGATGGTGTTGTGGGGAAAAAAATTAAGGTAAACTGAAATCAGAAGGCATCAGGCAATGGGGCAAGAGCACGTGGATGCACAAAACTGATCTATCAAAACTTTTACTAACATAACAGCTTATGTTCAAAGTACTTTTAAAACACAAATAAAAGCCACCAGCACAAAAGCATCACACTGACCTACAATCCATCTGTGAGCTCCTTCTGGTACAACTCAAAACCACTTTACTAGTACTATCTACTTCCAAGTCAGACTTCAGATTTGAACCTGCCTTTCAGGAAATTAATTTTAAAATCCAGAAAAGGTGCCTTTAAAAAATACAAACCAGGCAGTAAGTCAGTATGCACATTTTCTACTGCATGAAAACAGTTAGACTTTTGCATCATGACACGTTGTTATCCTACAACACTGAAGCGGTGGCTTTATAGGATCATTTGTTTCTACTAAAAAGTGGAATATGAAAGGAAGTCTATTTTAAAAATAATGATTACAGATAACAAATCATAGTTTATCTATAAACATTGCCACCATTTCCTGTGAATTTTTTATGGTGAAGCTAACTCCCTTTCTTTACACGTTCTTATGGTTTCCACAAACTAGCTTCCTAGAGAGAGGAAAAAAACCCATAACAGTATCTACAGATAATAATAATTTCTGACAATTGCATTTACGTGCTATACTTTAAATACGAAAGCTTGAAAAGAGTTCCAGATATCTATTTGAAGGTCCCTCCACAATCCCCAGCACAGAACACTGATCCACCTTTCATTAAAAGAACCGAATATAAACTTGATAAACGCAATTTGCCTGAGCTTGCCAAAAGCCTGAAACGATTCCTTTAGAGGTCCTGAACTGCCCCCTTTGTTTCAATCAGTGCTTTGTATCTGTAGCCTTTGAACAGTACGGTGAAAAAATCCTTATAAAGAATAACTACTGAAATCAGTAACAGCAAATTTTAAGGATTTACAGCTACAGGCTACAGTCAGATGTGTGGGTATAGGTTGATGGGAATCGTAAGTATTCTTTCACAATCATACTTAATAATGACAGAACATTCTATGTTGTGACATATAAAGATCATTACTGCACGATTTGTTTCATTATGCAAATGATATGTATAAAAGAAAGAGCACTCACAGTTCTATAGCTGTATCCCAGTATTTCTTTAAATCATTCTGTATATTGGACATACTCAGGTCAGATTAACCAATTACCACATTACATATGCTGTTATGGCATATTTAAAAAGTCATTATTACTAGATATTTTTAAACCATTTAATAAACTGAATTTTTGACATGAATCGCACACATGAAATTCCAAACAATTATTACAAACAGAAGAAGGGAAATAACAATATGATGTAAAGCAACTAAATGCCTGAAAACATGCACTAGAAAGGAAGCACACAGATTTTACAAAGGTGAAAACATTGTATTCCCCTCCTGAACTGCAGAGGTAATGTCTTCCACATTTTATTGCCAGCCAAGTCAGCGGCATGTTACATTTGGATTATGTTTTAAGATTACATGCTTAAAAACTATTTTATCATTAAGTTTTACATGGTATACTTAGGATTCTACCTTAAAAAAACCCCACACCGATATCTCGGAAGAAATCAGGAAGTGGAAACATATTTCCAACACATCACATGAAAAGAGTTTGGTCTTCTTTAAATCTCCAACCAGTCACTGTGCTATGTCCTACATAAGGAAAGCATTAAGGGATCAGAACACAGGGTGAATGCTGGGTTCACACTGGACACCTTGTTGTTTTGGGGGGATGGGGAAGGGGGAGTAATCATGTACTCTGTGTTGTAACTCTGACAGCAAGTATTAAAGGTCAATTCACAGTTCACTCTGAAAGAAGTAGGTACGTTACTGGCAACTACAGGAGAAAAAAAAGCACATTTGATGCTCAATTCTTCATATTAATATTACACACATGATTTTAAATATACACATGCTTTCACTTCTAATGGTGGTACCCAACACACAGAATCACCCTACAGGATGACTCAAGTGATAGAATAAAGTTAGAAATCAGCAATAAGGACCCTTGATAAGCAAACAGCCACTTAAATCATGAAATGATCATTTGTACTTCAGATATTTGTGAATTGCCTTGTTAACAGACTTTTTCTTGTTCATAACTGGCTTTAAACATTACCTTGTTTCAGCCTGTGGTTTGGAGCCCATTTCTAAAATCCTTCATCAGGCAAGATGCTTTGAAAGAGGATGTCAGTGAAGTTTTGCTTGTGATGGAATTTCTTAGTTTTGTTCAGACTGTACATTTCCATACCTGGCAGGATACTGTATTTTTTTACTTGCATCCTACCTAACCTTTCCAACACATTCACGGAATACCACTTTATAAGGGGTGGACCCTTAAAGGAGTAAGGTAGGTCTTTCCAGGAAAGACAGACTTTAAAACTAAACTGTGTATGATATTTTATTTTGCCAGTTTGTTGTCTTCAAGCTCTCACCCATCTTTTCCTCTCCATCTGTAGTACATTTAAGCATCATGGAACTTGTAATATCTACAGCTGTCCTTAAAGTAACATTTCATAACCACCATAAGAATTTAAAAGGCGCTTGTGATGCTTATGATTACCACATATACTCAAAAATACCTAGCATGCACATAAACCCTACACAAAAAGTATAATTCTATATGATGCAAAAAGAATGTATCGAAACACTATTAAGGCTTGAAGGTCTGATTTCACTGCTTATCTTGTTCCCATTGTCTTCTACATTTATGGGTTACTGATACTGAGCAAATGAGATGCCACTTGGGCAACCTTGGCTCCATCTCCTCTTTTCACATCAGCTCCATGAGACTGTGGATTTAAAAAGATGGAAAAAAGAAAGAGATGCTGGGCATGGCAGCAACAGATATAAAAGAAGAGAACAAACAGGAGGGGATGTAACAGAACTAGGAAGGAGAAAACAGTAAGCTGCCCAAGTCTCAAAACGGGGAAGAGCTTCTTCTGGAACATTAGTTTAAGACTGAAAAGAACATGTTTGGTGTTGGTTTATTTGTAAACAACAACAACAAAAAAAATCATTCTGTTAAGCTCTTCTACACTTTTCCAGCTCTTCTACACTTTTCCTTGCCCTTACCCACAAAAGTGCTTTTATGGTGAACAGCAAGTTATGTGTTTTCATATTATTACCCTTACAGCTGTTAAAGATCCCAATCAAGAGCTTACTTCCACTATGTTCAGCACTGTAAGGATACAGAGAAAACCATGCTTTCCCTAAGCATTCTCCAACCCAAATGAATGAGAAAGGTGAGGGAAGTATACAGATTGCTCAGTATCACGATTGCAACCCCATGGCAAAACTGGAGTTTGACCTCATGCTTCTGAGTCACAGTCCAGTACCTGACCCTTAAATACGTCTTTCCTTTGCTATAGTGTGGTGTATGCTAAACTTTTCATGGCCTTGGAATCCTGCAAAAGAGAAATTCATCCTTGCAAGGGAAGAGTCAGACCTATTTTTATGCTACCATATACATCTTTGAGCCATATGTCAATACAAGGTGACATGCCTGTAATGTAAGCACGCTTGCTGTAGCTGTTCAAACTATGAGATTCTTTCTTATGCTTTTCATCTTACCGTGTTCCGATTTGATCTGATTGAACCTACAATTCTTGCCATATGTTTTGTAGCTGACCTAGAAAGATCCAAGATAGATGCAGAATATTCTATTAATTTCATGATACTCTTCCATACACTCATTTGGTTTACTACTTATGTGGCTACTGGGCCTGTTTTTACTTTTATTTCGTTTCATTTGAGGCATGCATTCCAGTTTCCACAGTTCGTTTTGTAAGCAAAGTCTTAAGGATTACTTATTGTTTGAAAGTAGAATTAAGCCAAAAAATTTCTATGTTAATATTTTCCCTATTTTGTCAAACCTGAGCTATAAAGAATAGATCTCTTCACAACTCAGAAAAAAAAAGCAAAAAACAAAAAACCTTAAAAGAATGGTGACATGTATTTTATTTTAACAAAGCAAAAGAAAGTGTGATTCATTGTTACATGTGTTACCTGGTACTCAGGTACTGATACTCAGGGAAAAATCCTAAAAATAAATAAAGTTCACAAAGTTTTCATTATTGAATATCCCAATTCTAGAGGTCTTCTTTTGTACCACCTGAAAGTACATTATCAGCCCTCAGGATACCTTTTTCATATCAGATTTCACAGTGTCTCTTTGAAGAAAGATTTATTTGTTGTTCAGTGCAAACAGCCATTTTGGTTTAAAGCAAGCACAGTTAAAAGAAATACATTACCAATTGATGGAAATCAGCATCGGCTGGTGTCACATATGGAAGTCTATTCTCACCAAGTTCTTCAAGAAGCTTTTTTTTCTGTTTTGGAGAAGTAAAATTGAAACAGAAAATTAGACTAAAAACCAAGATAAAACCAGCCAAGTATAAAATTAGTTGTATTAAAAAGACACAAACATGTGCAATTATTTCTCTTACTACCTTCAATTCTGGAAAATCAAATAAGGAAAAATGGATGTAGAAAGTCAGTGGAGCTTTTCCACTTACAAAGCAGTAATTCAGGTTAGGTAGTTTCAAAGCACGGGAGTATTTTTCCTCCTAAATTCTTTTTTAGATAATCAGTCCTTATTACACTGATGAAAATCCATTTTGGTCTAATGTTCTTCAGAACTATGCCTACTTTGTACCTTGATACTAATTTCTTGTTTCTTTTTATTTTCTACTTCAATTTGTGGATCCAATGGGTACAAAGCTCATATTCCATTAAATGGCTCAACAATATACTTTATTATAATAAACAATGAGCCTCAATGTTGGGCATATTCTGAAATGTTTCCTGAAATGGGTGTATGAAGGAAAAAGAAAACATCATTTACTGGACACCAAAGCCCCTACACAACCTGACAATATTTAAAATTCCATACTCAAGACCTGCCTTCCCAGCAGACAGCCACAAATCTGGTTTGATGTTGGAAGTGCACTAAGAAGCTGCTGACTGTGAAGAGCAGGTTTTCTCTGTCCCCCTTGTTCTTTTAACTTCCTTTTTACTTCTGTTTTAGACTAAGAGCATCTCCACCAATGTTTAGTCAACACAACCATTAAGAAAATGTCAAGATAAAAGCCTGATTTTCCCCAAACTGCATTTTGCAGGTTTTTATTAATAAAAATAGAATTTTTGTATGCATTATACAATTAATTGTGCAGCTAAAGATTTAGAAAGTGCAAGAGAAGCTTGAAACATGCCATCAGATTTTTGGAATCAAACAATCCCAATCCATGACAAGTCCATCCGCATTTATCTACCAACAGTCTAATACAACACTAACTTAACATAAGTACAGATTAAAAACAGTGTAGAAGTTGTTACAGTAGAAGTATTGGCCTAGAAAATTAATACACTGTTTCCTTTATTTCTTCTTTCTTGTGGCTTGCAAGGATAGTTTCTTTACAAACAAGATTTTTGTTTCTTTACAAACAAATATTTACTAATAAAAATGCAACTCAAAGATCACAAAACTATATGTGCCATGCTGCTTGAATATTCCAGATAACAGGAACCAAATTCTCATTTTTATTGCAATATTTTCAACTACATAAACACTATCACAAGAAATAATTGAAGTTGCAGCTCGCTCAATACTTTTATGTCGTAAGAGCAAGACAAGATAAAATGGAATACAGTTTTTAAAAGAATAGGGTATACTAGAAAGGAAAACATAGAGTAATTTAAAAAAGGGTATCACTAACACTTCCGTAAAACCAAGTTATATGGGAACAACTACGTATTTCATCACCTAGATGTCACTGCAAATTGATATTTCATAGACAAGAGAATTCATTGTTAAAAAAACATTTTTTTTTCTTGTAAATTCCGCTTTTCATAATCTTTCGGGGTTGCATAAACAGGTCAAAACAAATCTTCCCTATTCTGGCAATCCTATTTAAAAAATGAACAAAGAAATATTACCTGTAGTAACTCCTGGCTTATAGCAAACACATAAACAAGGACAGCTGAACTATAAAGAGTGTTACTGTGTATTTTATTCTGTGACAGTGAATTTCATTTATTCAGATTTAAGCATGAAAGAAGATGACGGAGGCTTAAAATCATGAGGAAGTCTAGAAGATTTTAAGGTTTATAGCTAACAGATCAGTCAAACTAAAATAAGAGCAGGTAGCTCTCACTTACTTATCTCCACACTCACAGTCTGCTGCTCACCGACTCTTTTAGACTGAGAAGAGCAGCACTGACATCTATGAACTAGCAATGTAATTTCTCCAGGTCTCTAGTTTTCTTTGGGGACAGGTTGTTGGTATGTTGACATTGAAGTCATTGGTGAAACCGAGCATAATGTAACTTCAGATTAAGTTCGCAAAAATGACATGCTAATTTGCTGCATATTCTAAAACAATAACACTCCTCTATTACAAAAAGCTTGCTACAATTTTATTACATGAAATTACTGAAAACATTAGATTGTCTTTGTTATCTGTAAGATAAACCATATTAAACTGCAGAAAAAAAAAAAGATTTCAACATGGACTCACATCTGTGGGGGAAAAAAAAAAAAAAAGAGGTGGGAAGAAGAGAGATTCTGACAATTTCTTTGTCAAGTACCAGCCTCTTGGCAAAAAGCACACAACATTAAAATGCACTCTTGTGTATAGGTAGTACTAGTTCACATTTGATTGTCAGATCTGGCTAAGTGCCGCTCTTCAGCTTGATGTACAGACTAATACACACAGCCGGGTGGTATAACACGCTGCTCATCTCTTATGCAAGAAACTGTCACACAGTTGTCAAAAACATCAAGCTACTCACAAATACCTCAAAAAAGTAGAAAAAGAGAAAAACCGAAGATCTGGCTCTACCAGATGGCTGATGTGTAAGTCTAAGCGCTGTTACATAAGCGTTGCTTATAGGCTCTTCCAACACATAAACCCCTAAATAAAATAAAATAAATTAAAAAAAAAAGCTTTTACTTGAAGGTATCAGGCATCTTAAAAAGCATTTTTCTAAATCTGATTTTTACATTTTAAAAAATTACTAACCGTGTAACAGTTATTCAGGTGCCAGTATTAGTTTCTCACACTTTAAAAACCAATGTGATTTTTATATATACATTAGAGATGCCAATACGTGAAAGACAATCTTATGTGCACCATTCCTATAATGTCATCAGGCACTGCGCACTGCTCAAGAAACCTTGTTAAGTGTTGTACTTGGGCCTTCAGAAAGGAGCAAATCTCTGCAAATACCCTTTATTGTAGGCTGCTGTGTTATGGATCTGACTCCGATAACTGGAATGAATACCAGAAGCACTGATGCACAATTTTAGAGTGTGCAATGAACTTCCTGCAGACATTAACAATCTCTGCTCATTTATTAGTTATAAACGGGTTTATTAATGAGATGGTTGGTTGTAAAATTCAGCAAGTGGAATAGTAATAATTGGAATCTCTCAATCACTACACATATCATTTATATATTTTTTTTTTCCTAAGTTTCTACATGGCAATATAAGTAATGCATTGTATGTTACAGAGCAGGAGAAGTAATAGAAACACAGCTAATATACATCAAAGTCACAGGCCAAAATGCAGTTATGTTACACACACATGGTTTGTTATTTTCAAATTAAGTGGTATAAGGGAAAGATGGGACTTAATGACATTTTCTGGCCAAGAAGCATGACAGTGTAAAAATTTTTGCAGCTGACATATTTCCCTGCAGGGTGTCAATATCATTCTCAAAAGGTTTCATTTCTCTCTTAATTGTAAGACAAAAGTTCAATATCTAGGCTATAAAGGCTTGTGAAGGCCTTAGTGTTTCAAACATAGAATTCCCACTTAGTTTCATCATCAAACAAGCCAGAAGACAACAGTCATTTTCCAATTTACAAATCATTGTATTGGCTGAAACAATGTATTATAGAAACTAGTTTTATTGAAATCACACTGAAGTATTATTGAAATTAGTTCTGACAACAAATATAAGGCGGCGATGTCACAATTTCTACCATGTAAAAACACTGAAAACATTAAGAAGCAGAAGTTTGGCTTTTTCCCCCAATACTTAGTATAAAACGCACTGAAGAATTTATTGAAGAAATTGCATTTGTTCACACAAGGAGACTTAAGTCAATGCAAGTGGTATTCACCTCTAAAAGATAACCTGTTTGCTGCCCTGCATTTCTCCTGAATTCAGGGAAAATGTCAGCTTCACTACACCAAGTAATCTCTCTGGACCTAGAGCAGCATCCCATACGGGTGTAAAAAGTCAGTCACACAAGTCCAAGACATGGACAGATACAACAGTGCCTATGAAACATTTAAGGATGTTAGTTTTTAGTTATACAAGAACTCACTCTGATAAGCAGTCAAAATATATACTTTATTCAAACTAGTAGTCTGCCAAAAACATGACCGTTACTCACTATTCCGGAAAAGCCCATCTCATTATTCCCTAACAAAGACTTTTTTTCAGGAAAGATGGTATTTTGAAACTTCTAACAGGCACGTTCCCAACATCTGAGGGGATGCAAGCAACGTTTTTTTTTAGCCATTGATTAATTACTTTCACCTTACAATCAGCATTATGCAGAAATGAAGCAAAAGATAAATCATGCTTTGGAAACGACACATGAAAGAAGACCATTGAAACAAAAACTGAATATCTCACTGTGGCATTTAACTTCCTATTTTAACAATTCCTAGATATTTATTATTTACAGATACTTCATATACACATCACACTAGGGAACAACCATTTTTAATACTCTGCAGATGGCTGAGAACTGGCTGGACTCTTCGATCTACCTTTCAGGCAAGCTGGTGTAAGCTGGTGCTTGCCTGACGCAGAGAAAACAGCACAACCAGCAAAATAATTCTACATACTCATATATTGCTCTTCCCTGCAAAATAATTGAGTTTTCTGATTCACTATCTGACTCATCTTACAGTGACCTGAAGTCCCACCTTGATTTCATGGGGTCAATGCTAGTTTTTTTTTTTATAAAGCAAAGATTGAAAGTGTTCATTTTTACTCCCCGCCACCCCTCGCAATCTTACAGGAAAGAGAGGTAAAAGCAAGCTGAACATTCTATCTAGGCTGAATTTTACCTATCGCAAGTCTAGATCTGACAAATAATCTTATTGGGGCTAAAGGAGGGAACAATATACTGCTAGAGGTGAGAGTGCAAAAGGAAGGCCTAGCAGCTTTGAAACATCATCTCCACTCACAGCCTACAAAAGCCCTTCTGCCTTAACTCCTTTCATTAGAAGTTCTTAAAACGTTGGCCAATTTTTTCATCCTAAAAAGTTTTGCTAACAGCCCACTGCAGTTTTTACACTTTTGAGAA